TAAGTTTTCGATCTTTATTTCTTTGTTTATGATTGCAATAGAATTAAGCTATTTTATTTTTGTGCCGCAAAAATGACATCATGATTTAGGTAAAGTATCAGTGATAGAATTACATACCTTATCAATTGTTGTAAAGTAATTATGAGCAACTGAAACTGATTTGTTGTAATGTAAAACAGTTATGTGGATATTTGATTTCTTTACCTACTTTATATTTTCCTTTCACAGCACTCTGTTCTTAAAGGTCCACATTCTACCTTTTCTTTTTTTTAATCACTGCTATATTGTCAGAAACTAAATTAAAAGATACAACAGATGTTTTAAACGGTTGAATCACTAGCTTAGATCTATGGAATGCTTGTTTGTAAGAACTATATTGTTAAGTACCTTCCAGTCCTGACTTTGATTAAAAATTGTTTTTCTGGTTATTAGCTAAGTGAAGTTACAACACTTTCCTGTACAATAATAAAACATTTAGCAGTTTATCAAAAAAATGCATGCGTCTTATTTCTGTGATAAATATTTGTTATCATGGGATCAAAAGTGCTTTATCTGACCCAGAAACTAAACTCTAAAAGATAACATTTTTCTTTGTTCTCCCTACTTAGAAAGAACATTTTAAAACTGCAGTTATCCCCTATGACTCAAATGTTTTGTTACTATGAACAAAATGTTAAATATATATTAAAAAATACATCATGCGCTTGACCTTTATCAATGGAAAATAATCAAATTGGTCAAAATTAAAAAAAAATTAGATCAAATAAAGCATTATTGTACAAAAGCTTTAACTTAGAATTCACACTCAGTTCCGTTGGCCAGTTCTGCTGTTTTTAAGGCATGAGAAACGGGAACAAGTTATGGGATCAAAATCATTTGTTTTAAATATTTTTGCAATTACACAGTATACATGTATAGAGGGTGTAAATCTGCAAGCTGCAAATCCATGTGTGCATCAGTGATAATAATCTGTATTTTGGAAGGGATTAAACATTGATGACATCTGTTAAATCCAATGCATGTAAAGTGGCAAGAAAGTAATGCCTTTTAACAAGAAAATATAATTTTATTTATAACATTGCAGGTTCAAAAGAACTTCTTGTTTGCATACCAGTCGCTCAAATGAGAAACACTGGTGACAATCTGTGCTAACTAAATACTGGCATGGAAGGAGGTATGGCATATCAATAGCCAGTACCAAACAGTTTTGCATACAAGCTGTGTCACTTATCTACCTGGAGGAAGTCTTGCCAAAATTGCTTAATGTTCCAACAGGCATCTGGTAATATACGAGGGCTATCCAGAAAGTAGATTACGTTTTGGAATAAAAAAATAAACAAAGTATAGGAAACAAATTTTATTATATACAGATGAAAGCCACACTCAAATACTTTTCTAGATAGTCACCATACAAATTAAGGCATTTATCGTAGCGATGTCCGAGCTTGGAAATTCCTTCGTCGAAAAATTCGGCCGCCTGCGCCTTCAACCACTTCGTTACCTCTTCTTGCAGCTGTGCACAAAACTTGTGGTAACCAAGCTTTTCGCTGATGATTTCGTGCAACAAACTTCGCGAAATTTGTGGAAAACTCAAAGAAAGTTCCGTTATTGTGAAATTTCGATTTTCACGGACTTTAGCATCGACTTTTTCGAGAAGTTCGGCGGTCACTATGCTGGGTCTCCCACTTCGATCTTCGTTGTGAACATTGGTTCGGCCATTTTGAAATCTTATGACCCACTGACGCACTCCACCTTCAGTGATAATGTTGTCCCCATACACTTCACGAAGCTGCCGATAGATTTCTATCGGTTTACAGTTTTTTGCAGTCAGAAACCTTATTACTGAGTGCACCTCACAGCTCGCGGGATTTTCAATTAACGCAGACATTTCAAACCGTCACAGTATCTGAACGGAGCACAGCACGAACCTCTCACTAGCACGGCTAGATGCAGACTGAGCTGCGCAACGCTCTGACCCCAAGATGGCCGCGCTAGCCCCGCCCCTAGCGGACACAGACGGAAACGTAATCTACTTCCTGGATGGCCCTCGTATTTGATTCCAGCAGCCTGCAGCATTAAGCTCTTTGTAATAAGATATAGCAAACTATCTGATTGTAACTGTTCCAAGCCAGTGTACTGGGTAAGTGATGTACCCCATCACAATAACTCAATCTGTTGTGTCTCAAGTTTTTAATTTTTCTATGGAAGCACCTCGAGCATTATGTATGAGACTGACTTTGCTGTGGAACTTGTACCTGTTTGCTTATGCAGATGTATGCAATTGATCTAGTGCAGCATTTTCAAGCTGTGGTCTTCAAAGTCTGCCCACATGGTCCTCCTAGATTTTCAAAAATTTCCTGTTACTTTTAAATAAAATTAACAAGATTTTACATCATTTCTTTTTTCATAAACCATGGCTATGTACACTAGCATATCTTTCAGGTGTATTCTTAAAACTAAATTAACTAAATCTTTGTCTACAAGGTAATTAATTCATTGTTCGTTCTCATTGCCCGTGACAAGTTAATAGATTTGAGAGGAAACGTGGTTTGTGAGTTAGCTGTGTAAAGCAGAGGAAATTTTCACTCTTTTCCAAACTTAGAATCTTTTTCAGTAAACAATTATATATCATTATTGGGAAAGAATTATGCAATGATGTATGTTCGCATCTCAAAACTCTGATGTCATGATTTTAACTTATTTTCCAAGTGGTAAATATAATACATTTGCATGGGATTTTGACGGTTTCCATTTCGATTTTGAAAATAACAAATTGCCACTGAATGAGAAAGAGTAGTTACCGTATTTCTAATGGTGCCAGGCTTAAAATAAAATTCCAAGCGGAAGGTATAGTTAATTTCTGGACTTGATTACCAGCAAAAACAGAATATAGTAAATTGTTCAATGGTGCTTTAAAAATTATAATTCAGTTTGCTTCTATGTATCTGTGTAGATAAGAGTTTTTGTCATTAATTCAAATGAAAAGAAAGTACTCAAATTGCCTGGATGCCAATCTCAGGCTTAAGCTTACCAGTACATATCCAAACATACAACTGTGTGAGAATTGCCAAAATTTGTAAAATATTTTTAATTTTACTGATATGACATTTTTGTCTCTTTTTTATGACTGCCATTATTTATGTGAATTAACATTTTGCATGTATGTATATGGAATTCAATGCATGTGGTTTAAAACTGCACTGTCACAGATTGATGTAGTGAATAATGACAAACATATCAATCAGCCATCTTAGAACAAAAGTTTCTGGGTACCAGATGTGTTGTTTATTAAATCTTTTAAACCAAGTATTATCAATAAGAATGCTCCCTGTCTAAAAAAAAGATCTTTAAAAAAGATATTAAAAAAGACCTTGACCTTATGCCCATGCTTTGAGTACTGTGTAACAAAAGCTTGAATTTCATGATGGTGAAGTCATGAGCTTATAGTAAAGATCATGCTTTGACCCAGAATGATCAGTGAATCTAGAAATTCTTCAAAGTTAGAAAAAACAAAAAGGACATAAATAGAACACTTATAAAAAAGGGAAAGATATTCTGAAAATATTGTCGGGTGTAAGACAATCTGATTATAGCCATTTATCTACTCAGAACATTCAACTGCCCCAGCTTCATTGCCACTAGGAACAATGGGGACTATCAAAAGCTTCCCTTTGGAGAAGAAATGCCAAGCTAAGTTAAAAAAAAATTATCGACATTGGTTGGCTGTTGAGGCATTTTTTCTAGGGTTGCAGTCCCTTGTACCAGAGATAGTCTTAGCAGCTAAAAGCCTAAGAAAGTCTGGGAGGAAATAAAAAATATATTAATTATATCAGCACAGAGAAAGCATGTTTCAGAGGAATATTGTGATGAAATTTTGTTTTTGTTTGGGGAATTTTTGCAAAAGGTGAAAACAAAATTTTTTGAATTTTTCACTTTTAATTCCCAATGTCTTGACACATTTCTCTTCATGTTTTAATGATTTTCATGTTCAAAAGTGTGTAAAATTTCAAGAATGATTTATTGTATCATATGGAGAAACATCTGCAGATGGGTTTCTTTGATAATAAAGAAATTGAAAATATGAAAGATTCATCTTATATTCGTCAGTGCCCCATATATGATTTCATAATTCCTGCAGTTACTCTCCCTATTTGCCACTAGTACAAACAAGCATGCTTACTGCATGGAAAGTAAACAAACCTACTATGAGTTGCATTTCAGTTGGAATTCCAATCTAAAACATAGAAAAATAAATTCTTTACAAATGCTAATGGCACAGTTGGGATAAATTAAAGAAGCCAAAGGAATGTTTATCCAGCAGAAGGAATTTATCTGAAATGAAAAATCTGCAGAGATGCATGATCAGTGTTGACTTTATATATATAAATGTCTATGTGTTGATTTGTTTGTTACTTACATTTTTGTTAAAGCAGATAAACTTTCAAAGTAGATTAAGAAAAGAAAATGAGTAGAAATAAATTAAGCACTAAAGTATCGGGGAAAATTTCAGGTTTAAAAAAACACATGAAAGTTTTGTATCTTGTAACGTAAAATTGTTCCTATCTTTTTAAAACTAATCTGATAAATTATATGTTTTTTAATTTAAAATTTCTCTAGAGTGTTATTTAATAGTTATTTTTAATGAGACTTTTTAAAAATAAAAGATGTTTTTTAACTGTGATCATGCAAATCTTTAAAATATGCGCCTAAAATGTAAATGTTTCGAAAAGTTATAATTTAATGTTAACTAATTGACAATTTTTAGAGAGTTGATTTTAGTTTTAAATTTGTTTTATATTTATGTTAAATATTAGATTGTGTTTAATAATGTTACATCTTATGCAGTAGTGTTTTATTCTTCAAATATATTGCAAAAGTGAAGTTGATTCCTTAGATAACTACTTTAATTTACTCAGTTTTATTTATTATTTGGTGTATTTTTTTCATTTTTTTATTATTCTGTGATGAGATTTAATAATAATATATGTTTTATTTTTCAGGTGCTATATCTGTAGTTTTAGATAGCTTAGACACAATACAGTGCTTATCAGATAGTTCCATCAAAGATAGAGATTTCCTTTTATATATTTTGGAAGATGAAAAGCTTCAAACCCTGCTTGATGTAAGTAACCATAAAATAGAGCTATAATTATTATAAATAACTATTTAATTATAAATACTTTGAATCAAATAACATGCTTTATGATAAATCAAATAGTACATTTGAGTCTCCTTATGTGCAGTTAACTTTGATGGAGTGTAAAAAACAAATGTTGCATTAAATTTTGAAATGCATGTCAAGTGACTAAGGATTGTAGCAGAACAAAATACAGTGTTCAAACATCACTTGTTACAATCTTCCCACAGTAATCATATACTTACATGCTCATTCGAAATGATGTTATGCTCACCTATGATCGAATAGATAAGACCTTGATTACTGTTCAAATGCCAGCGAATAGCTGGTTTAATGAATGTTTTCATGATTTTCCCCATGTGTAGTGTGTAAAAGAATTAATTTACCATAGAAAATCTACAAAAGCATTCCTTCCTTTTAGATAGATAGCTATAGAGTGCTTCCTTGTATTCAGTCAAATAAATAGATAGATGTTCCTAAGTAAGCAGAATAGTTTGTATAGTAGAATCTTGTGTCTACTCTCTCACAAAAGGCCCCCGCAGATTTACACATTTCTTTCTAATATCTCAGCTTGATGATAAGTGAGGTATTGCAGCTATTCAGTAGTAACAGTTTTGATTTACATCTTTGTTACCTCAGCCATATTTCTCATATGATGCAAGAATCTTGCTTCTGCCATAACTTTTTAATTTTGTCTCCAATTTTTTTAAAAATTCCTATTATTCTCAGTAGCATCGTTAATGCAGTTTTCATAATTAAAATCCATATTTGTTGCAAAAATGGTCTCAAAGCACAAGAGTAGAGTTGCTATTAAAGCTTCAAATTAACCCTTCTAGTGTTAAGAAAATGGATTATTCTTATTTCTGGCTTCTTTTGAAAGAATATACACCATGCCCAAAATGTCCTTACCTGACCTTTATTTTTGCAACTCTGAGTTGTAGACATGTTCTTCCACTTAGAAACATGGTTAAAATCATGCATATATTCATGTTTTCGCCTTTAAATTTAAAAATACCAATTTTATAAAAAATTATAAGCTCTGACTTATTTATGGTTCCCCTGTCCATGTACTATAATTTTTTTTTAAATTTTATATTTATTATAAAAATCTGATACCAATATCATTTATAAAAATACTATCCTACATTATAAAATTATTATAATCATTTATTTTTATAAAGCATTTTGGTAATTTTTCCAATAATGTTTTACAAAAAAAGATTAATTAATTAATGAGCTTTATTAGTTAACAATAAAAGTTTAAATATTCTATTAACTGCTATACCTAGAATTATTTTCTACTCATTTTCAGTCTTTAAATGCTTAAATTTCCTTCATATTTTTTCAGCAAATATTTATTAGTGAATTCAAATATACAATATAAAAGTAAAAACATTCCTCATTCTTTCTTGTGCTCACAAACCATTGTGTGAATATGTGAATTATTAAAGCCTGAAAACGCATGTCTGCAATGTTATCATCATGTGATGATTTATAGGTGCTTTATTTGTTATTGATATTTTTGACGATTTTCTTTAAACTGCGAAGCTTTTGAAGTGCTTCATTTTCGATGAAGATATTTTATAACTGTGATGTTTTCTCCTTGCTTTCTTTTCTTCCACGATGGTATGTACAATGACGTTTTTGCCTTGTGTTTTCTCTGGTAATTTTTCCAATAGTGCTTTATTTTTTATTGTGATATTTTTGACGATTTTTTTTTAAACTGCGAAGTTTTTGAAGTGCTTCATTTTCGATGAAGATATTTTATAACTGCGATGTTTTCTCCTTGCTTTCTTTTTTTCAACGATGATACGTACAATGACGTTTTCGCCTTGTGTTTTCTCTGCAACGTCTTCGTCAGCGATGCTTTCATCGGACACTGCTTTAGTATATCTGGAATAATTACTAAGTATTCCAGCATTGTATTTGAAACTGTATCAGTTGAAGAATTAATTGGATTAAGTATGCCAGAATGAATCAATTTCCTTTTCTCACTATCTCACTGTTGACAATGTTTATGCATTTTATCATCAGAATGTTTCACGTATGTACACTGTTCAAAAAAAAAAAATGGGACAGTGCTATATCTCCCGTTCTACTGGGGCGATTCACGAAATTCAAATTGCGTTCTTCATGTCTCGAAAGCGTGACTTAGGATATGTATTAGATTTATATATAGCACTATTCTAACATAGGTATTTTGACACAAAATCGGACTTTTTCTGAAATAACATACCAATTTTTTTACATATTTCGATTCTACGACTCAAATTATGCCAGAATACCAAGTTTTGTAAAAATCGTACGAGTAGTTTTTAAAATATTACCTCTCAAAATATTAGCTCCTCAATGTTAATTGAATTTGGCAAATATTTATTTTATATCTCTTTTTTATTAAACTTTTTGATTTTTTCTCTCACATTTCGAAATTTAGGTTCATTCCAAATAAAATTTACTCATTTTTTTGTGTTTTATTTTTTAAATTTCTATTTTTTAAATAATTTTTATAAATTTTTTCGAAAAAAAATTTTGAATTTATAACCTGTAAAATTTTTACCATCATCTTAAAGTAGGTATATTTTTAAGCATATCTGCAAAAAATTAGACTTTTTTATTCAAAATTTTCTAAGATATACACAAATTTACATATTTACGCGTTTTGAAATTTGGCATCTTTTTTTGAGTGATAATAACGCCAAATGTGGTCTATGGATTTTTGTTACACTGTATTGCCACAGCTATTTTTAACCTTAAATTTCAAGTAAAATTTTACGGAGAACTTATTATATGACATTTTTTCCCTCAATGATGCATAATAAATATTTATTAATACTATATGAAGAGCTATTTTTTTAAATAAATTTTTTAATTTTAATGTTTTTTTTTTTTTTAAATTTCTCTCTAAATTTTTTTTTTTTTTTTTTTTTAATAAGTGTAAATTTTTACCTTCGGCGTTTTATCGTCTGCTACTTTACTTCGTTTAAATCGAATTGTCTAAAACTGAGAATTTTCGTTTGATGTTTATTTGAATTTTATGACATTAACCGCACAATTTATTTCTAAACAAACTGATGCTTTTGAAGTGGCTGAAAGAGCGGCTGGGTACTATCATCCATATTTTAAAAGCACAGTATATTTTTATAGAAACATAAGATTTTAGAATAATCATTTTTATAAAAGTCAAATATGATATAAACATACAACCCTCTAGAGACTGAATTAATGGAAGTTCAATGGTTATGTAGAAATGATCTGCAGCTACTTAATCGCTGGATAAGTCAGCAGATTCCGTGGACAAGTAAGAATAATTATATAAACGACACCCAAACATTCTGAATTCAATTAAACAACGAGGATACGATGTTTATTAAATGAATTCAAGAAGTTTTAAAACAAAAAATCAACTCATTTTTTATCCTAAAATGTATTTTGGTGCGTAGCGTATTTTCATTATTCTAATTTAAAATTCTAATAATTCTTAAAATTCTAATTTAGAATGTAATTGTCAAGAACTGATTCCTAATCATCAGTAATATAATAAGTAATTATTACGGTTATTAATAAATCCTTCTTATAAAGTAATTGCAAATATTTCAAAAAACTTTCTGTCTGAATGCAAATACTTTTCTGCGCAAATATTTTTAATTTTATATTAATCAAGATTGCACACGATATTATTTATTTGCACTTCAGTTCTTAACGTCAGTTCTAGTAGAAGTTACAAATCAATTATATTTAATTAAGGATTGGATTGGATTATTTAATTATGGCAAAGCACACGAGGGCTATCTGCCTAAAGGGAGGGATGCCTTCGTGGAGGACTTTCTAAGGGAAACTTACTCGTATACACGTTACACATCGGGAAAACCACGAAAACTCCCATGCAAACAGCCCATCTGCGGGATTCGAACTCGGACCGAACTACCAGTGATCAGCGTCTTTACCGCTCAGCCGTTTGTGGGCCTTTATGAAATGGAAGGCGATAACTTTATTTAAAATGATTGTCAGAAATACCAAAATGTTTCGAAAAGTTGGATGCTTTTTAATATACTTTCAGAATGCTTAAAGAAAAAGAGAAGAAAAATAAATTTTTTCGTAAAATTTAGTATTTGTATTTTTTTTTTAATTTAAAAACTTTTCAATCTTATGATATTTGATTCTTGCGATTTCAAAATAAAATATTTGACTAAAATATGAATAACATTTTAAGAAACCAAATGTAGGATAAAATTGTGTAAAGCAAATATGCACAATGATTAAAACTGTTTAAAGCAGTGTATGCAAGTCATCCTAAGTTAAAATGTTGGTTATACATCTCTCTTATTTATATATCTTTTCTGAACGGAACATTGAAAGGCGTGTTAAAAACTGTGCTTTTTTACTGTTTTGTCTTTTAATGTAGTATGCAGTTTTCAAACTCATCGTAGTCTGGGTTACAAAGTATTCTTCCGAAAGAAACGCAGTTCAAATAAATAAAATCAAATTCTAGAAAATTGATATTAATAAATATATTAAAATGCTCAGTTCGAAGGAATAAATAGAAAATTTTAAAACAATTATCTGAAGAGACAATGCAACACAAACAATTAAAAAAAAGTATAAAAATTTAAAAATTACCTAAAATAATAAATATGACAAAAAACATGTATATAAAGAAAACTATTTGAAAAAAATAAATGCTGCACCTTTATTTACGCAGTTCGAATAGGTAAATAGAAATTTTTTAAAACAGTTATTCGAAAAAAAAAAAAAAAAGGCAACTTAAACAATTAAAATGAAATTCGAAAAAAAAAAATTACTTAAAATAATAAGTTGTAATAAAATATAATATAAAGAATATAATTTGGAAAAAAAAAGGAACGATGGTGACTTTTTTTCCTCTCACGGGAAAGGAAACTAGGTTGCCATATATTAAGAAGTTCGCCAAGTGAAGTATTCTTGGCGCAAACGGACAAAAAAGTGCCAGCATAAATTTGTGAATTTCT